ATCTATCTATCTATCTATCTATCTATCTATCTATCTATCTATCTATCTATCTATCTATCTATCTATCTATCTATCTATCTATCTATCTATCTATCTATCAAAGATGGCCGCTGTACAATTAACCATCTGCATTTAAATTTCACAATTTCCAATAAAAAACAAAGTGACCCTGCTTAGCAGCTGCTAACTGATGTTTTTTTAATCTTGTGAAGCTGAAAATTGAAGCCACTGAATATTTTAATCAAATGTTTCAGGAATCAGAAAATAAGCTGTAGGTTCTTCTAATTGTTCATTTCTTCTCCTGTTTAATCTCCTTCAGTCTCTCTGCTCAGCTCCTTTGTTCCTCTTCAGTCCCATTTCAGTCCTTCATCCCTGCCATCGTCTTCCTCTCATCTCTTTGCCATCCTTATTTTTTAGCCAGATCATTTTCTCTTTCTCCATCTCATCTCACCCTCCTCCTCTCACACTGCGCCTTAATGCCTCTCATTTCTCCTCTCCAACTTCTCTCCACAGTCTTCATTTCTTCTTCTGTCCTTACCTCGCCTGCTTTCTGAGCCCAGTCCTCCTCCTCCTCCTCCTCTTCCTCTTCCTCTATTCGTCTTTCTCATTTCAGCAAATGATCAGAAATGTGTCACACGCATTTAAATATTGCAAAAGCACGGTTATTTTTGAACTATTATCATAATTATCATAAACAAACCAAAGCCATTTTAGAGAAATGTGCATCTCCAGCCCCTACAAAGCTTTTTACGCTACATGTCATTAGCTGTAGTACTTTTTCATCCTGACAGGTGGTTTTATTAAAAAAAAATAAAGGTGTAAAGAAAACAGAAATTAACTTTTACCAGTTTATTCTGGGAATGTTTTCCGAGAAAGCAGAATTGTTGTGTGAATTGTTTCTACGGAGCCCACGGGGGGGACATGGGGGATTTTTTTATTTTTTTTGAGTTCCCACGCAATAATATTGGTTACCTTGCAATACCTTTTGCATTTCCTCACAAAAGTTGTTTATCACTGTTGTGCCTGCCAGTTTATTAACTCACATGTTCACCATTAGCGAGTTAGCCTACTACTTTAATTCAGCTTCAGAATGAATATATCACACAGCTACGCATGGAAGTACGATATTTTAACACAGAACAGCCACGCAACATCGTTGTCAATTCCAGGAACTTATGGCGACACATCCTGTTTTGTTAACTGAATATTTCAAAATAAAACTCTGATTTAATTCAGTTAATACAAAACAAACTTTTGTGTGGAAACGCAAAACAATATTGAGAGGGAATGCAAACTTTTGTGAGGTAACGCAAAAGTATTGCGAGGTAACGCAAAAGTATTGCGAGGTAACGCAAAGATATTGCGAGGTAACGCAAAAGTATTGCGAGATAACGCAAAAGTATTGCGAGGTAACGCAGAGGTATTGCGAGGTAACACAAAGGTATTACGAGGTAACGTAAAAGTATTGCGAGGTAACGCAAAAGTATTGCGAGGTAACACAATAGTATTGCGAGGTAATGCAAAAGTATTGCGAGGTAACGCAAAGGTATTGCGAGGTAACGCAAAAGTATTGCGAGGTAACACAATAGTATTGCGAGGTAATGCAAAAGTATTGCGAGGTAACGCAAAGGTATTGCGAG